CATATTGAACTCTTTCTCTTTGTGAGTTTATATTTCAGGTTCTCATCAAGGATCCTATTGAAGAATTTTTTTAAGAAGGATCTTTTCGAGGTGATGATACTACAATGGAAAATCTTGGAGATGATGATTACCTGGACAAGCGTGTGAAGATTCTACATGGACACGGGTAGATTAGGGGGAGTGTTATGATTAATTAGCTTGTAGTAATTTGAGGGGAAATCTCCCCTTGTCTTGCGAAATGAAGTTGCCTTCTAGCAACCGATGCGTCTCTCTTTTCCCACTCTTCTAACTGTTGCATCGGTTCCAATCCTTGCGACTTGTGCGTCGTATCTCTTCAGAACATACATAAGTGTAATCTATCTGCCTATCAACACAGTTGATCATTTTCCACTCAAAACAGCTTCGTCGCTGTCGGCGGCGGTGACTGCCATGCACTTTGGTATATAAGGCAACTCTCAATTTTCATCTATCCCTGCATTCTATTATCCTTGAGCTCATGGCTTTGGATTTGTCAAATCGCACTTCAACTCGAAAAGTGCTCAAAGTTTTGCCTGCAAGGGTCGTTGTTGCTTCGTTGATTCTTAGGACTCTTGCTACACTAGAAACAAACTCCCGTCTCTTGGTTTCTTATTTACAATGGATGAGCTGAGCACATGCTTATGTTAATATTCTATTTTGTTACTTATATTGTTCTTAAGAAGCTCCCATCTCTGAATTTAATTAGTTACTATTGGATGAGCATGCTCCTTCTATTTGTTTCTATGTATAGATAGAAATAAGAATTTTCTCCCATGGATTCCCGCATGTAATGTACTTCCTCCGTTCCTTTATATAAGGTGTATTTGTTTTTTAATAAAAATTCACAATGTAAGATGCATTTGTTCTAATTCGTCATAATTTTGATCTTGACCCTCGAGAAAAAAGGAAAGCATCGCTACCCTAATTGCATATTTCTCTCCTTGTAGAGAAAAAAAAGGAAACTAAGTATTTTTCGATTGCGTGTATCTCTTCCTTTTCTAGCCTAAATGATTTACTTGCCACTAATCCACCAATTAGACAAGGGTAATTTCGATATAAATTGTCTATAATCATGTGTCTTGGTCACCGTGCTGAAAATAATACACCTTAGATAAAAAAATGGAGAGAGTATTTGTTTAAACAGGTTACCTACAAACTAAAATAACAATGCATGCTTCCTTTAAGCAATTTCGGTCTGATTTGGAAAGATGGATAGCACTAACAATTCTTGGAGCCATCCTATTGGTTTGCTGTTTCCATTTATTTCAGCCTCATGTTTGGTTTCTCACAGCTAGCTTGACTATGCAAATTTAACCTTTGCAATGATGTTTTTTTCTCACATGCAGGACATCGTCAACCACACATGCAAGCTTCTCATGAACTACTCTACCTTCTTCCTAAAATTTGGTGCAGTATTGCTTAAATGAATAATTAGTGCTCATTAGGTTGATCAACTTTGATTGTGATCTTTCTAAGTGGAACTTCAATTGTTTTCCAGAAAAGCACTCTCACACCGACCATGTGTGTATGTATCAGCATGAATAAATACTCATCTATTTTGGACAGTATATTTGCCTCTTTACCATGCAATATCACTAATGACAAACTACTTACTATATTGATATTGCGACCACTTTGATCTATATTCATTGCAGTAATGGCAGAATCTGCAACTTCAACCCAAAAAAACTATCATTTGATTCTTTTTGCTTCCATACCTTGTCGAGAACTTCAAATACTTTTATGTGCTGAGTGGTAATCCCTTTTATACCTAGGTTTGTTACACTAATTGCAGGCATAAAATGCCATCATCATTTCTCTACTCCCCACTCTATCGACCATCCTATTCAGCAACAGACAATTCCCACAGCAACACGCGGGATATCATCTAGTTCATCATAATGTATCACCGGACACAGCGTGTGATATGAACCGAACCTCGATGGCAAGATCCGATCTGTTGTTGCGGCCCGATCTTTCACGACACTCCACCACCACCGGTAGCAACCTCTCGCCCGCGCACGCGATGTACACGAAATAGAGGGTTTGAACCTTGCGGCCCAGCACGAGAAAACCAATCTTGACGAAGGTACTCACGCGCAAAACAATTTCCACGAAGAGAAATCGCAATACAGAGGTTTTCTAAAGATCCCTCCAAAACTTGATACGGGTGTCTACCTAAAAACACATCGTGTTTATTTCATAAAAATAACCTCCCTTTTACAAAGAACTAGTTTGGCTTTATATAATAGCTACACCCTAACTATCTTGGAAAGCAAGACTTGCTACGTGCTTAAAACAGAAGGTAACACGTAAGCATATCTAAACCGACTTGAAAGATTGAAACAAAATAAAACTAGTACTAGCTTTCGTGCATGAGCTGGTTTGTGCATGAGTTGGGTCAATCTGGGAGGGCCCCAGCCAATATCCTTCAAGCTCAAAAACTCCCAAATAAATGGCCTTCTCACGTACATGGCTTCCTTGATTGGCAGGAAAAGGAAGAATAATATTCTTCTTCTTTTGATTCTGACGTTGGACTCCTTGGTGCCTCCATCTTAACCTGAATAGGCTTCTCTTCTCTCCTGATGCACATCGCTTGCAATGCTTCAGCATGCATGCATCTATCTACTAGTGGTTGCTCATCTCCAGAACTTAGGCGCGGTTGCTCCAGTGTATATGCAGTGTATTTTCGGACAACACCAACTTCAGGCAAAACAACAATCTTGGTATTTAAATTACATGCGGTCATATCATCCTCTCCCCCTTGAATGGAAACCGTCCTCGGTTTCGAGTTATTCTCTGCAACAATATGTTTGTTTGCGGACTGAGCGATGACAGAAAAAATTCCAGCAACTTTGACTTTCTTCTTTTCTTCTTTTTTCTGCTCTTTTATCTTCTCAAGATGTTCTTTCCTCCAAGAAATAAAACGATCCACATCCATTGGCACGAGGCTGCACTTCTTACCCCTCTTGACGATATATCTGTGTGTTTTGCAATCATATGCAACATCGTGCTCTTTGTACCATGGCTCGCCCAATAACAAGTGACATGAAATCATTGGTGCCGGAATCACATCACACAAAACCTCGCAAAAATAATTACCCAGCAAAAACAGTACCTTGGTTTGATGCGTGACAGTGAGCACTTCGCGACCCCAACAGAACAAGTATGGTTGTGCTCGTGGTGTCATCGATAGATCTAGCTTCTCCACCATCTCGATGCTTGCAGCGTTGATCGAACTCATGTGGTCGATTGTCATGGCACATGATCTCTCCTGTACCACAACACGAATATGAAAAAACCCATCCCATCGACCTTCCTCCTCCAATTGAAATCCATAGCTTAGCTTCCATGATAATCCAATCATCTAACTCCACAGTGTCGTGAACAACGTTGCTCTGAATACCACCTGATATGAACCGAACCTCGATGGCGAGATCCGATCTATTGTTGCGGCTCGATCTTTCACGACACTCCACCACCACCGGTAGCAACCTCTAACCCGCGCACGCGATCTACATGAAATAGAGGGTTTGAACCTTGCGGCCCAGCACGAGAAAACCAATCTTGACGAAGGTACTCACGTGCAAAACAATTTCCACGAAGAGAAATCGCAACACAGGGGTTTTCTAAAGATCCCTCCAAAACTTGATACGGGTGTCTACCCTAAAAACACATCGTGTTTATTTCATAAAAATACCCTCCCTTTTACAAAGAACTAGTTTGGCTTTATATAATAGCTGCACCCTAACTATCTTGGAAAGCAAGACTTGCTACGTGCTTAAAACAGAAGGTAACACGTAAGCATATCTAAACCGACTTGAAAGATTGAAACAAAATAAAACTAGTACTAGCTTTCGTGCATGAGCTGGTTTGTGCATGCGTTGGGTCAATCTGGGAGGGCCCCAGCCAATATCCTTCAAGCTCAAAAACTCCCAAATAAATGGCCTTCTCAGGTACATGGCTTCCTTGATTGGCAGGAAAAGAAAGAATAATATTCTTCTTCTTTTGATTCTGACGTTGGACTCCTTGGTGCCTCCTCCTGAACGTAGCTTACCAAAATAACTAAAGTATTCTTTTCCTTCGTTTCCTCTTGATGCATGATTGTCTAACACCGAAGCAATTATCATCTTAACCTAAATAGGCTTCTCTTCTCTCCTGATGCACATCGCTTGCAATGCTTCAGCATGCATGCATCTATCTACTAGTGGTTGCTCATCTCCAGAACTTAGGCGCGGTTGCTCCAGTGTATATGCAGTGTATTTTCGGACAACACCAACTTCAGGCAAAACAACAATCTTGGTATTTAAATTACATGCGGTCATATCAGCGTGCCTCGCGCGGGCTTGGCTAGTATGATCTTTTCCTTGCACAATTTACTGGGTGTAACAAGCTAGTGGTAAACTCACACAACATGGTGGTCATTAACACAATGGAGAGAGAAAATTTCACGGGAGCCTCAGTAGCTATTTATTATGATTGTTATCATATGTTATGCCAATTCCCTTGTATACTTTTTCGTGTAGCTTTTGAATTTTGCCTGAGGGGCAAATTCTATAGCCCATAAGCTAGCTAGTTAGCAAAATTTAGTGTCGACATGGATGAAGGTCCTGCTTCTATTTCTCCCCTGATTGGAAAAGAACTTGGGAGTCGCCATGGGGTGCATCCAAATGCCAAAATATGTGGAGTGAAGTTTTTTTTCATATCAAGGCTCTTTGGAGTTGTCCAACAAGTCATACGTACAACTCAGGCTATTAGCTAGAAACTGTTTCATACCTGCTACAAATCCTATCCTGTGTGCAGACTCACCGATCTCTATCAGCAGATGAGTAATGATGCATCTCCAGTGACATGCGAGCCCAACAAAAGAATCTCGAGGGACAGTTGACCACCAAAACAATCCAAATTTGGTCGCTACACACTAGCCATTCACCACCAAAATAATAACTTCAAAATACATAAACTATTAATATTATGACATTTTAAACAGTCACGAGACGAGATGCTCTCACGATAACTTCTCCCTTGTCAGAAACATCTAGAGTCAACACCTTGGTCCTCCAGTGACTCCTCCGGATGTCGAAAACCAAAACCTACAAAGTCAGTATGACATATTTCTTATAGGTAATCATATTCCCGTATGAAAAATAAACGGTCAAGCAAATCTCAACTAAATTTACCGAAACATCCACTTTTCTATTCCAGTTTATTCCTCCCATAAAACGATTCTTGCAAACATCCAACATCATTTTCTCCAACTGGTAATAGCAATAAGAAAGAATTGAACTGAGCGTAAAGTAATAGAATGCGCATGAATATAATTTCTTCTGAATGTAACTAAATCCTACAAAATGTGTAATACACTAACCTCGACTGTAGTAGAAACTTCCTCTCCCTCAAAACAGCTGATAATATCACCTCTACAGATTCCAAGCATCTCAGCATGGGACCCACTTGACACCTAAGGTTTAATTGGCAACAATGACTACATAATATGCCACCAGTCCAGAAATAAACAATATAATGAGCATGCATACGAAGGGGAGCCTTGGCGCAGTGGTAAAGCTGCTGCCTTGTGACCATGAGGTCACGGGTTCAAGTCCTGGAAACAGCCTCTTACAGAAATGTAGGGAAAGGCTGCGTACAATAGACCCAAAGTGGTCGGACCCTTCCCCAGACCCTGCGCAAGCGGGAGCTACATGCACTGGGGCTGCCCTTTTAATGAGCATGCATACCTCTTGAACAATAAGACCACTATCAATTTTGCATTTTCGCCTTATCCTCTCAATATGAGAAGGGTCTAGAAGCTTGATAGCGAAAAGCTTCAATCTGAGGTGGAGCCGAGGGATGCGCCTATACATATTTACAGAATTTAGACATAAGCATGTAACCCTTTTTAAATGAGTCATTTTTATTGAATTCTAAACTATATAACATGCTGGAAAGCTGCTGATAGTATACCAAATATTTTGCAACTTGATTTAAAATTAACATCGCAACTTTTATGCTAAATTAAATTGAAAAAACATAAATGGGGCAACTATTTATATCTTATGATCAAACAGACTAAATGGTGCAACTTGATAAATGTATCTGTCCAGCGGTTGAACTGAGTAGAACCATACCCATGATTCCTCCAGAAGTAGAAGCATTGGTGCAAGATAGAAGTAGGTATGAAAGATCCGCTCGTAGAGTTGTTGATCATGCCAACAATATTTGCACTGAAGTCAATTGCTGGCCCTCCATCATCAAACTATTAAAATGTCATCCACAATGTTGTAGAATTGAAAATGATACAAAAAATTGATTAATTTGACAACAGTAAATAAAATTCAACATAAAAAAAACTCACGCAGATGAAACTATTTTTTAGCAGAAAGGTGAATTTATATTGGATATGCACTAATCCCTAAATTCTCTAAGCTCCCTGGGAATAAAAGACAAGGGAGAGCTCCGGTGTTTTTTTTTTCTACAGTGGGTCCCAATTGTCTCTGTCAGGCAGCGTTGTGGGACCCTGCCTGCACTCGCATTGGTCAAATGCAGTGCACTGGATGTCTGCTACTTTCGATTTGAGGGTATGCGTGTAGAGATGGGAGGAAATTTGGGGTTGAGCGGTGACACTGTCGGCAGTCACTTGAAAGGAAGTGATTTAGAGTGCACTACCGCCGCTCCATCCCCGTCTTTGGTGTGCCTGCTAATTTGTCCGTCCCAGCAGCCAAGCGTTCCTCGATGTTGTTGTTTCTAGCTTACTCGCCATCAGATGCTTCTCCCGTCATTTTGGATGGTGGCACTGGCCAAATGCATGCGAGCGTAGCTGCTCCCTCTCCTGATGGTTGGTCTCCCGATGTTGCGGCTGTGCATTCCATGCCGTTGTGTCTGTTATTTCCCCGATTCAGTTTTGGGTTTTTGCGTGTGTCTGGGCAGCTGATGGGCTGTGTCTGTTGTTGCCCCAATTCAGTTTTGGGTTTTTGCACGTGTTATCTTCCTCTTTTCAGTTACTTCATTGGCTTAATTTCTCTTATATATAACATTCTTTAAAACCGAGTAAGATTTAGGATCACTATTGATTTCTTTTTGATGTTTCGTCGCTGAAGGTGAAGTTCCTATCTTTCTCTGATGGTTTGCTATAACTGTTAATGGAGTTACATATAGGTTCCAAACAATCCGTCGGGGATTGTTGGCGCGTCTTTATGTGGCGGCTGATGGGCCTTTGGTCGTTTGAGTTATTGAGGGTAATCAATGGAAGATGGACTCTAGCTCAGGCTCAGATGGTGCAGCGAAATCAGCCTGAGGCACTTAGAACACAGGGATAGATAAAACAGAGAGGCAGGAAAGGGGTGGTCGGACAGACTTAGTGTTGGAATTTTCAGGCCACGTACCTTGTTTCTCCACTTTTAACTAAATTTGTAAATGAGCTGTACACTTATCAAACTTGACATCAGTGCAATATAGGATGCTTGTATTCCATTTTGAGTACATTCACACAGTAAGATTCTTTATGTTTTCAGTTACGCAATTACAAAACAGGCTGATATTATCACAAAAAAATCAGCAGTGACCACTTAGAATGTTTGTCAGGTTACAGCGAATTGGAAGATAGAATGCAATTTTCACCAAATTTGGAAAGTGCATGGCTCAGTCTGGTGTTATTGCTTATTGATAACGTCCTGGATTTCTCAAGTGGTCATGTTATGGTTTAACAGAATAACTTTTTGTCAGAACTATCAGAGTTATAGAGCAGTCAAAAATTAGACCAACGGACAATCCCATCTCCTGCCGACAAACTATTGTGGAACATAGGAAGTAAGAGAGAAAATAGAAGATTTGAAGCCTTCTTATCTCTTATCAGTATGCAAATAGATGGCATGCATTGCAACATTGGAGCTATCATGCTAATTGTTTCAGGTTTGGAAAGAAAAGCACACATCAATATTTTTGGATGGCATGCATTGCAACTCGCCACTGATTGGTACAAATCATCTCCATCTATTTATTGCTCTCAACGAGTGCACCCTACAGTTCAAAGCCTTACATATAATGTTGATGCCATATTCGTAATTCATTCCCTGTTTTTACAGCTTTGCAAACATAAATGTCAATTGCTAAGAATTATCGACAAATTGCTGTAATATGTGTAGATGAGACATATTTCTGGTGGATACTGCATGTCGGTTCTCTTTTGTAGGTCTGAATAAATGTACGGTCATATTTGTATTCTCTTCGTCAGTTTACAGCCTTTGATGATTACATACAGATGTTTTTATAAATTTTAATCTTTTCAACAAGGGGATGTGAGGAGCTTTATGATTAGAAAATAACCATAGAGACGCTGAACTAATTGATTGAAACAAATCAACCGAGTTGTTCCTTTCATTTATTATTTTTTAACAAAATGAATGTCGGCTGCTATTTTCCAAGATGTGACTATGTGAGAGATCTCTACACCTTAGCTAAAATGCAGCAGATGGTACTTATCTCTTCCAGTTAGATCTCTTTGGTTGTGTGTCTCTGACATTCCTTCCCCTGGAGGTTCTTTCTGCTGTAATGATTTTTTGGTAGTTATAGTGGCATATATATATAAGATATCTTTGGATGTAAAGCACTAAAAAAACTTGAAATAGGCTATTGGTTTGGTATGATTATCCACTAATCACATAATTATTATACAGGTCGGCCTCTTTCCCTCCATCACAACTCTACTTACTTCCACCTGTTATGCATATTATATTTTCTGACTAGGTGACAGACACCTTATCCCTTATGTGTGCTTCAACAACCTGTAACGCAGTGCTCTCCAAATACTCAACCAAACTTCAAAGGTAAGCTCCTTATCTTGCTATAATTTTTGCAATCATGTATCAGTTATGTGGATAAGGAGGAAAACACAGGCAGCAAAAGGGCTTTGATGCGGGGCGGTGGCTGTGGGGTGCAGGATACACTTTGCTGCTGCCATTGTGTGACCAGAAGCTAACACGTCAGTGTGAGGGCTTCTACGTCACACTGCTCCGCCAGGCAGCAAATCGGTTGCGTGTTTATACTTCAAATTTGTAATCAGCACCTTCCACTACAATGATGAGTTGTGCATACGCAAGCAGTCTACTGTGAGTAACTTGTTTACTCTTCATTTGTGGATATGCCTTCTCAGACACGGGGAAGATTTGTCTCAGAAAGTTTATATGATTGGAAATAATAAAATATCTACTTTTTGGAACGATCCTACTGTTATTTATAACTTCCATAGCGTGTCTGGAAGTATGTGCGCTATGGAAGACATCGCCATGGTCCTTTTGGTTTTGGAAGAATAATATTTCATTAATTGTGTGATCATGCTTTTATGAATGCTCTCAAGGAATCAAGCTTGCTTAAGATGTAAGTTTAAGTGACGGTCTTGTGACACTTATTAGATTTTTATATTATATGCTCATATTGATACTAGAGGTAACTTTGGATAACTTCCTACTTGTACTGAGAGTGATGATCTGCCTAACACTAGAATTTATTGGGAGGTTGCCAATGCCATTTGGTTTCGCTCATCTCACTGAGGCTCAATTGGTTCAGGTACCAAACTTGTTTGTTTACCGGCTACCTCATTCAAGTTCATCTTTATTCTACTTGATGCTTCCAGAAGGTCGGCTTTGTGGTACAGTCTATTAGATCCTACACTACAGTTTTTCCTTCCGATTTTGTCAGCAACTTTTGAAAAACTGGCTAATATATTTTGTCAGGTTCTCTGGGAGCCCAAAAACCAATAGGCAAGCAATAGAAGTTGTTCAAAATGAATAATGTTAGCCTGTGATTTGTTTGCATCAGAGTTTTTGATTAAAAATTCATTTTTTGAATATATACCTCATTTGTCATCAACTTAAAATACTAGTGATAGCATTATAAAACAAAACATGGCATAACAATGTAAAACTGCGTTGTCAATATATACCTCATTGTTATCATCTTTACGATGCATGTACATGAAGTGTTGTCTTCGATACATGTTTGGATTCTTAGATTGTGCCCTGCCATAGGTTATTCTCAGGTTCAACTTCTCATCTCTTCCAAGCTGGAAAATTTCTTGACCGGATTTCACATTGTCAACAAACAAAGGCAGTTGGGGGCATTGACCGACTTTAACTTTGAAAAAAGTAATATCATAGTGTTCTTGATGGTACAAGAGGTCACCCTCTGCAGTTGTATCATCTAAAAAATGAACAACCACCTAAAACAATTATTGTAAAAAGTATTTCAGTTAATCTAAGAAAAACAAAAGCCAAAACCATGACCTTCTGTACAATAGAATTTAGAAATGCACCTTAGCATCAGGCCGGTACTCGTTCTTTCCTAACCAGTGGTCAATGGATGGGCAATTTGAGCGGATTAGATGTGCCGTCGTCAACACAACACCAGTTTTAAGATGATCATCCCATTCAAATAAAATGGCAGAACACCTTCGCAGAGCTTTGCCATCTGGAAATTAATACTTACAAACACACATTCATAAACAGTGGTAAATTTCATGGCAATGCTAGAAAAAGAAAATCTATCAAAAGATATTAAATACCAGCAAATGATGAAAGCGCGAGAACAAAATTGGCAGCATGAAGTACAGCCTCTGTTCCAGATTCACGCACTGGGAGAAGTTGTTGATGAGATAGGCAAGTGGAAGATTCGAAGTGAAGTGTTGGCAGTTTCCTCTGGGCAGCTACAAGATTATGCAACAGTTAATATTGTCACAGTGTTCTGGATAGGAGTCGAGATTATAAGCGGCCAGTAGTCTTTTAGTTAAACACTTCATCCTCGTTATCTCCCACTAGTGCACTTGCCTACGCCTAAATTCATTTGCTGCTGAACTGGAAATATGGCATGTGGAGAAATAAGGGCATATATAGATGTCTTTCTTTGAATATACTAGTCTCGGTTAGTCACTAGTACTATTTTTGCATGGAAAAACTGAATTGAGTGCTATTTTGGCAAGTTCATTTTCACTAGTGGTACTTTGCTATTCTCTCTCGACTTGATTTGTGCAGCATATCTTGCCGGACCTACCAAAGATGTGATTACCATGCGAATGAGAAGAGGAACGGAACTAATAAGGGGCTTAGAGAGGGAACCTAGTTTTTCTTCCACCATCTCTTCTGCAGCCCTTAAGGCGTTGTATATTGCCGGGTTGCGAAATCTGTTGTGCATCGCTCCGTCTTTGTCTCTGGGGATATACGGCTCGCAGATCGGGGAGCTCGGTGCAGAGGAGACCACCTCTTCCTCCTCCTCCACCTCCTCCTCCTCCAGTCTGACCAGATTTCTCTTCTTAGCGTCCTGATCCTCGTCATCCTCCTCATCAGGGATCCTCGATTGTGTGGTACCGTCCCCGAGAGCAGGAGATGTTGGCCCGGTTTCCTGACGAGTCGGCGGCCGCCGTCGCTTTCTTGCGGTCGACATGGACCCAGACGCCTCTGCTTCTTGTGTAGGGATAATATCCTTCTTTCTTCTAGCCTCGCTCGACATGGTGGAAAGCAAATTAGGGGAGGACGATAGCCGCCGTCGCCCGTCGGGCAGGAAGTTGGGGTTTGGATTTGACGTTTTCCTTTGGATTTTGGGACTAGAGACGCCTCAAATAGAAATAGTGTAACGCGGGGTCGCCCAGAGGACGGGGCAAGGCGGCGACCACAAGGGGCCGGCCCAGAAGGTGAGGCCACGCGGAGAACAGGGCCACGGCCTAAGTACCTATCTATCTGGATTATCTGGAAGCCCTAAATATTCTCAAAAAAAAATCTGGAAGCCCTAATAAAAAAAGAATATGGAGTATATGGAACCCCTCGAAGAAAAAAAAACTGGAGTGTCTAAAAAATCCACTAAAAGCATCTCCAACAGCCGCGCAACGCGCGGGCGCGGCGCGCTTAAAAACCGTTTACAGCGCCGGAATCGCCTTAGGCGCCGCTTCGCTTCGCCGGCGCTTGTAGCAGCCACGAGTGGGCCGGCCCAGCTAGCGCACTCGCTCTTTCCCTTCCATTCGTCTGCTTTGTTCATTCGTCTCTATGTTTTTTTTTCTTGTTCGTCCATTCGCTTACAAATCTGGAAAAACATGGATTAAAAAAATTACAAATTTGAAAAGTTCATAAATTTTGAAAAACATTCATCAATTTTGAAAAGGTGTAGAAGGCTCAAGTGGTCTGAGCCAATGCGCCTTTCATATGGCCAGAAATGTGCTTATAGGGGTGCTCATTCGTTTATACTGCTTCCTTACGAACAACCGCGGCACCACTACTGAACGACACACCCCGGTCATCATGCCGCCCACACGGCCATGGTGACCGGACAGCGCCCGAGCCGTGTGCTCTGCCCACGAGCACCCCGGCATCCACCAACCGGGCCGCCGCCCCAGCATCCGAGCCCAACCTTCATTCATGGATACACCATACCGACGCGGCCGACCAGAAAGGGGCGGACACCTTGGCAGCGTTGGTGGTCTCGGCGGGCAGATCTGGACCAGGGGAACTCTGGCAATTACACGACGCAGCCGCCAGATGCAACGGAGGGGCACTCCTGCCCCCTTCCTGAAGTCCCCTGCCACCTCCGGCAAGGCCTCGCACGGACCCACACCGCACCATTGAACCACCCCTGCCTGACGAGCCCGTACCTAAACCAGAGTTTTTCTGGGTTGAAGTTGTAGATTCATTGCAGTAATGGCAGAATCTACAACTTCAACCTAGAAAAACACTCTTTGGTTCTGTTTGCTTCCATACCTTGTCGTGAACTTCAAATACTTTGATGTTATGAGTGGTAATCCCTTTTATACCTTGGTTTGTTACACTAATTGCAGGCATAAAATAGCATCATGATTTCTCTAGCCCACTCCATCGCTTAGCCTATTCAGCGATAGACAATTCTCGCAGCAACACACGGGATATCATCTAGTTCATCATGATGTATCACCGGGCACGGCGTGCCCCACATGGGCTTGGCTAGTATGATTTCTTTTTTTTTCTTTGCGGGGATTAGTATGATCTTTCCCTTGCACAATTTACTGGGGGTAACAAGCTAGTGGTAAACTCACACAGCATGGAGGTCATTAACACAATGGAGAGAGCAAATTTCACGGGAGCCTCAATAGATATTCTTTATGGTTGTTACCATGTGTTATGTCAATTCCCTCGTATACCTTTTCGTGTACCTTTTGATTTTTGTGAAACGGGCAAATTCTATAGCCCACGAGCTAGCTAATTCAGCAAACTTTTGTGTCTGCATGGATGAAGCTCCTGCTTCTGTTTCTCCCCTGATTGGAAAAGAACTTGTGAGTCGCCCTGGGGTGCATCCAAATGCCAAAATATGTGGAATAAAGTTTTTTTTATCAAGGCTCTTTTGAGTTGTCCAAAAAGTCAGACGTACAACTCAGGCTATTAGCTAGAAACTATTTCATACCTTTTACAAATCCTATCCTGTGTGCAGACTCACCGACTGTCAGCAGATGAGTAATGATGCATCTCCAGCGACATTCGAGCCCAACGAAAGAACCTCGAGCAGCAGTTGACGACCAAAATAATAGGTCAAAATTTGGTCGCTACACACTAGCCATTCACCACCAAAATAATAACTCCAAAATACATAAACTAGTAATATTATGACATTCTAAACAGTCACGAGACGAGATGCTCTCATGATAACTTCTCCCTTGTCAGAAACATCTAGAGTCAACACCTTGGTCCTCCAGTGACTCCTCCGGATGTCGAAAACCAAAACCTACAAAGTTAGCATGACATATTTCTTACAGCTAAAATTTTGACTAATCATATTCCTGTATGAAAAATGAACGGTCAAGCAAATCTCAACTAAATTTACCGAAACATCCACTTTGTTATTCCAGTTTATTCCTCCCACAAAACGATTCTTGCAAACATCCAGCATCATTTTCTCCAACTGATAATAGCAACAAGAAATAATTGAACTGAGCATAAAGTAATAGAATGCGCATGAATATAATTTCTTCTCCTACAAAATGTATAATACACTAACCTGGACTGTCGTAGAAACTTCCTCTCCCTCAAAACAGCTGATAATATCACCTCTACAGATTCCAAGCATCTCGGCATGGGACCCACTTGATACCTAAGGTTTAATTGGCAACTGTTACTACTCCCTCCGTCCGAAAATACTTGTCATCAAAATGTATAAAAAGAGATGTATCTAGAACTAAAATACGTCTAGATACATCCCCTTTTATCCATTTTGATGACAAGTATTTCCGGACGGAGAGAGTACATAATATGCCACCAGTCTAGAAATAAACAATATAATGAGCATACATACCTCTTGAACAATAAGACCACTATCAATTTTGCATTTCCGCCTTATCCTCTCAATATGAGAGGGGTCTAGAAGCTTGATAGCGAAAAGCTTCAATCTGAGGTGGAGCCGAGGGATGCACCTGTACATATTTATAGAATTTAGACATAAGCATGTAACATTTTTAAATGAGTCGTTTTATTGAATTCTAAACTATATAACATGCTGGAAAGCTGCTGATAGTATACCAAATATTTTGCAGCTCGATTAAAATTTAACATCCCAACTTGTATGCTAAATAAAATTGAAAAATATAAATGAGGCGACTAATTTATATCTTTTGATCAAACAGACTAAATGGTGCAACTTGAAAAATGTCTCTGTCCAGCGGTTGAACTGAGTAGAACCATACCCATGATTCTTCCAGAAGTAGAAGCATTCGTGCAAGATAGAAGTAGGTATGAAAGATCCGCTCGTAGAGTTGTTGATCATGCCAACAACATTTGCACTGAAGTCAATTGCTGGCCCTCCATCATCAAACTATTAAAATGGCATCCACAATGTTTTAGAATTGAAAATGATACAAAAAATTGATTAATCTGACAACAGTAAATCAAATTCAACATAAAAAAACCTCCTGCACATGACACTATTTTTTAGCAGAAAGGTGAATCTATATTGTATATGCACTAATCCCTAAATTCTCTAAGCTCCCTGGGAATAGAAGACAGGGAGAGCTCCAGTATATTTTTTCTACAGTGGGTCCCAATTGGTGTCAGGCAGCGTTGTGGGACCCTGTCTGCACTCGCATTGGTCAAACGCAGTGCACCGCATTTCTGCTCCTTTCGATTTGGGGGTCTGTGTGTAGAGATGGTAGGCGATTTTGGGTTGAGCGGTGACACCGTCGGCAGTCACTTGAAAGGAGGTGATTTAGGGTACACTACCGCTGCTCCATCCCCGTCTTTGGTGCGCCTGCTAATTTGTCCGTCCCATCAGCCAAGCGTTCCTCGAAGTTGTTGTAGCTTACTCTCCATCAGATGGTTCTCCCATCATTTTGGATGGTGGCACTGGCCAAATGCATGTGAGTGTAGCTGCTCCGTCTCCTGATGGTTGGTCTCCCGATGTTGTGTTGTGCATTCCATGTCGTTGTGTCTGTTCTTGCCCCTATTCAGTTTTGGGTTTTTGCGTGTGTTTGGGCAGCCGATGGATTGTGTCTATTGTTGCCCCAATTCAGTTTTGGGTTTTTGCATGTGTTCTCTTCCTCTTTTCAGTTACTTCATCGGCTTAATTTCTCTTATTATTCTTTAAAACTGAGTAGGATTTAGGATCACTGTTGATTTCTTTTTGATGCGTCGTCCCTGAAGGTGAAGTTCCTATCCTTTCTCTGATGGTTTGCTATAACTGTTAATGGAGTTACATATAGGTTCCAAACAATCAGTCGGGGGTTGTTGGTGCGTCTTTATGTGGTGGCTGATGGGCCTTTGGTCGTTCGATTTATTGGGGGTATACAATCAATGGAAGATAAACTCTAGCTCAGGCTCACATGGTGCGGCTAAATCGGCCTGAGGCACTTAGCACACATGGATAGAGGCAGGAAAGGAGTGGTCGGCCAGACTTAGCGTTGGAATTTTCGGACCACTAACCTTATTTCTCCACTCTAACTAAATTAGTAAATGAGCTAGCTGTATGCTTAATTAAACTTGACATGAGTGCAATATAGGATGTTTGTGTTCCATTTTAAGTATATTCACACGGTCGGGTTCTTGATGTTTTCAGTTACGCAATTTCAAAACAGGCTAATATTATCACAAAATTTTCAGCAGTGACCACTTAGAATGTTTGTCAGGCTACAACAAATTGGAAGATAGAATGCAATTTTCACAAAATTTGGAAAGTACACGGCTCAGTCTGGCATAATTTCTTATTGATAACGTCCTGGATTTCTCAAGTGATCATGTTATGGTTTAACAAATAACTTCTCGTCAGAACTATCAGAGTTTTAGAGCAGTCAAAAATTAGACCAACGGACAATCCCATCTCCTGCCGACAACCATTGTGAAACATAGAAAGAAAGAGAGAAAATAGAAGAGGTCAAGCCTTCTTATCTCTTATCAGGATGCAAATAGATGAACAATAATTACTTGCTTAGCATTGGACCTATCATGCTAATGGTTTCAGGTTTGGAAAGAAAAGCACTGGAGTTAGGAATATATGTTTCGCATCAA